CACTCGAGGAGGGAGCATGTACGGTGTCCAGTCTTCCTTTTTCTTCCACGGTCAGCTCTCATTATTTCCAAATGATAGTTTCCTCCACGGCGTATCAAGCCTTTCGCTGACACTCTGTGCCGCGCGTACGGGCTTGGACTTGAACCGTATGACGGTAAGCACTCGTTGGTACCACACGAGTAGGCCTGCTGATAAGAAGGAGTGCCTGCAAACGGCGATGTTGTACCGTGGCGCAGGAGTGCAGCAAGTATTCGCTGGAAGAATTGCATCATCGTTGTTAGTGGCTTGCAAATGCTCTCCAACCCCCATTTCCGGCGATGCAAATACTGAGCCTTGTTGATTGTGCCCTGTTGGACCGATTTGTCCATGCCTATCTCCGTAGCACTCACCTCAATCAATCAATACTTATTGTGATCGGTGAGTTACCTCCGATGGGTTGATTAACCGATGCATCTATTACTGTTACGCTGCTAATGATTGAGGAAGCGGAGGTTCAGCCTCGCCGGTTGCGCCCTCTTGAAGTCCCACAACATTCCAGTGTTATCGCGTATTCTCTCGTTCGCACGGTCTTTCCGTAGAAAAACGATACTGGAGGCCCTGGAAGGGAATTCTATTGGTCCGGCGTTGAATCCATAGGGTTCACCATCTGGGCTATGTCAACCTTGAAAGGCTGTTGGCTTACTATCAAGGTTTCACAGGCCGGTGAGCAGCGTAGGTCGTGTACCATAACGAGAAATACTCTGCAATGGCCATGCAACCACCACAGTTAGTTGACGGCGAATAAAAATCCTGCTGAGCCAACTTTCCGTGCATCAACTTAGTTATCGCTGAGTTCGCCTGCCGCTTCAACCCACGTATTAGGCAATTGGAAAGGAAGTATTTAGCAATACATTCATTTTAAGCCTTATGCGTGGGCGGTGTTGTCGCGATCCCACGGAGAGACGGTGCGCAGGATGCGTTCATCGGTCATCGAAGGTCAAGGGTTGTATCTATTATACCAATCGGATTTCCGAGAGACGGTCCCTGTGCAAGAATAGAGGCATTTAGAACTCGAACTCGAACCCTTAGCTTTGAAGGCTGAAACACACCCCAAGCGTGGCTCCCCGCTTTGGGACTCATCCGGTAAGCCAAGCATGTCCTTTCTTAGAGGTGGCTGATGGCTTCATCCAAGGCCTCAAGGACATGTCATGTTGAACTATCTTCCTAAAGAACCTCGGAATCTCCTTTCTTATCATTTTGACTACTAGTTACCGAACAAAAACGTTCGAATTCCCCCTTACTGAGATTTAGGTTGAGCCTTAGAATTACGAGCGACATGTCCAATACTACCACTGCCCCAGCGGCCTCAACCCTCGTGACTGCAGAAATTGACAGAGAACAGTACATGGTCACCGACGGGCCCTCAGATGTGGCAAATAATGATCACGACTCCGAAGCTGGGTTGGCGAATGGAACAATCATCGATAGCAACGCCACTACCCGCGAACTGACGGATCAACTCAAAGCAACCACCGAGCGCCTGAATTCTTTGGAAGCCCAAGTGAGAGCCGTCAGCGGAGTAGTAGGGCTTCATGTAGATGCTATTGTAGATGATAGCCCTGTTGATAACGATGCCTTTGACACGGATGAAGAGACTGCGGACGATGAGGCGGTTCCGCATGAGGAAACCAGGAAGAAACAGCCAACCATTATCTCGGAGAACATGAAGTACGTGACGTCCGACGACTGGCTGAAGGGTGGGCTTGCGAAGACATACGGCATCATTAGTGCCATCCCTCGCAGCCACAAGCTATCGATCGTAGTGTCTACCGAAACCGTCAAGCCAGCCGCAGCCGATCCCAACCAAGCAATACCACTGGAGACGATATCCAATATTGTCCCGAAATTGATTGCTACCAGGCCTGATAGGCTCGCCATCACAAGCGCGACACTGCTCAACGAGATCGGGAGGATCTCTGGAACTCGAATGAGTGTTGAAACAAATGTATTTGTGCGTCCTTTCAAGAATGTCGTACCCTTTCGACAAGAGTTCTACGAGTCCCTACAGAGAAACGAAGAGGCCTACAAGACACTGAGAGACTTGAAGAAAAAGCGTCACGCCGAATACATCGAGAGTTGCAAGAAAGCTGAACAAGAAAACGAGGATCCCCCGTCAAAGGAGGAGAGGCGCTTGACTGCCGAAGATCAAAACAAGTACTTTGTGGCCAAGAAGCTGCATGTCGGGTTGACTTGCTTGTTACACTTCATTGATCACGATGCTGTCGACATTATGGAGTTCCGCCGGCAAGTGATGGACAAGGAGTACGGTATCACATTTGAGAATCTCTGGCACCTATTCCGACCGGGACAGATCGTCTGTCCAAAGGGCGACAAAGAACAGGTTTACCGCGTGCTTCAGGTGGGTGGTGGACGACCGCATCGTAGGAATGTCGACCATGACGGCCAATTTCTGGCCGAGTCAAAAACGCTCAAAATCACCGACTTCTTTGTCGATTGTTTCCACATAGACTTCAATGGCACCCACTACGTGCCGGCCCCGATCACGATCCTCATTTCGCCCTACGAGGGAACACGGGCTATCAAGAACCTGGCTGTCAGGCCCATCAGCTGCATGTTCACACCCGAGGAGGAAGAGAAGGCCAGAAGAAGGCTTGTAGAACGGGGCCAGAAATTTGAAAGGCTGGCTGCTGTCTCCCATCAACAGTACTGTGGGTACAGCTTGCCGGACCAGTATACCAGGTGTGAAGTAGTGGATGGCGATGTCATCGTTGATTTCGCGTTGGCGTTCAAGAACAATCCGTCCAGCGGAGTAGACGTCTCCGGATATTTCAGTCACCCACGGGCTAACTTTCAGCCACCAGGATCCGTTAATATCTTCGACTATATTACTATGCAAGTTGAAGAAGAGACGCGGGAAACCAGAGCTGCTTGCTCCGTTCCAAACTGTCCAAGCTGCCAAGGGGTCAATTACATTTTCGATGATGCCGCCTTCGAGTTTGCCAGACGCTCCAGGTTCATGGACGACAATCCTGCTCTTTTCAAGGACGTGGAGAAGAGGTTGGGAGACGACAGACACATGCTGCTACCATATCGCATGTATGGCTATGTACTACTGAGTCGCAAGTGGTGTAAGTAATCTTTTGCAAGACTGTGACCGCGGGTGTAACCATACAACAGATCCCTTAGACATAGACCTCCTCCGAGACATCAAGGAGAGTCAGACTGAATCCGATGGATTCAAGGATCTGGTTTTGCCTGAGGACCATAAGCAGATTGTCCGTGCTCTCGTCAAAACGCACGCTCGCGGGCCCCGATCAGCCACCGGAAAGAAAGCCAGAGCTACACGCGAGATGGACCTGGTCAAAGGCAAGGGAAAAGGGCTCATCATCCTTCTCCATGGTGTTCCGGGTGTTGGTAAGACCTCCACAGCAGAGTGTGTGGCTGCTCACACCAACCGTCCCCTTTTCCCAATTACATGCGGCGATATCGGTGGCCAGACACCCCGAGAAGTGGAGACAAACCTAGAGTCGTACTTTGACCTCGCGCGTAAATGGGGTTGCGTTCTGTTGCTCGACGAAGCTGATGTGTTCCTGGGGGAGCGCACCAAGGGTGACATTCTGCAAAACAGTCTCGTCTCAGGTAGGCGCACCGGTATATCAATGCTTATCCAGCAGTTGACTAACATGATGTAGTTTTCCTGAGAGTTCTCGAATACTACAGCGGGGTCCTTATCCTTACCACCAACCGTGTGGGACAGTTCGACGAGGCAATCAAGTCGCGCATTCACATCAGTCTCTATTATCCTCCACTGAATAGAAGGCGATCACTTTTGATCTGGGAGATGAACCTAAAGCGTCTGGAGAGGGAGTACGGCGCCAACAGCGTTCAATCCAAGCAAAGTAAAAGTGGTCGAAAGTCTGCCGTCCCACCTGTCCGATTCGATAGCCGGGAGATTATGGACTTCGCCAAGGGCCACTGGAAGACGTGTAAGAACAACAAAAGCATCTGGAATGGTCGACAAATCAAGAACGCTTTCCAGACCGCCATCGCCCTGGCCGAATGGGACGCCATGGACCTCCAGAAAAAACACGGCTTGAAGGACCCGCTTGCCATCAGCCTCCGGGACGAACACTTCAGGAAGGTAGCCGAAGCTAGTGCCAAGTTCGATCAATATCTCGTGTCTGTACGCAAAGACGACTCGTTCAATGCCAAGGACAAGAAGAACCGTTTGGACGACTTCAAAGACCGGGGGACCTCATCCAAGTACGGCATGGCATACACATCGTATGAACAAACCAAGAAACAGCGTAAGAGTAGTGGACACATGCCTGTGCAAGTCGAAGACGACGACGAAGATGACTCGGAAGTTGATTCGGAGGAGGAAAAGCGCGCTCCAGTCGACACGAGGAGGTTCTTTCCAGAGGAGGGTCTAGGGAAAGAGCAGCTGCAACTAAACACTTTGTCAGATGACGCAGGCCGCAAGGGCAAAAAGAGTGGATCTGTGAGAAGAGTCGACAAGGTTATCAGCGATGACTGGGGCAAGCTGGCCTCCACTCCGGACTCCGATGAGGATGGTTCCAGCGATGACTAAGGTTTGGTGGTCATTGTTTTCGCGTATTAACATTTGCAGTATTTCCAATGTTCTTTTGTGTAATAGTCTGAAAGGGGTCGTCTCCGTGAGGTGTGGTAGTTCAAAATACACACGATGAATAATGCCTCAACTACAAGCCGTTAGCATGGACATCTACTGTGACCCTCCCTCTCAGAAAAGCCAGGAAAAAACGGGCTACTTACACGTCTCTGATCCCGGGTTTTCCAATGCACCAAGAGGTTTTCTACCTTATTCCAAAAGCTACAAGCGAAGACATCGGGGGTTGTGACAAAACAATGAAGAAACCAGAGGTTCTTTCTTCCAAGAGCCAAAAGCCTAGGTGGTAAACACCCCCGCCCCATGCCTCTCAAACCCCCCCCCCCAAAAAAAAAATATGACAAAAAAAATCAGGGCCGAACCGGAGTCGAACCGGTGACTTCGGGATGAACGGTCATAGAAACTGCAATCCTACACTTTGAAGGGGTTAGTACTAGCGACCAGAAAAGGGTAAAGAGCGTACTAACCTCTACCACTGAGTTACCGGCCCTCAGATATGAATTAGACGAACATTGAAATAAACCATATTATATACTGTATCATTGAACTTGGGAGGCGGAGCATGTGCAGCAAGGGAGGGTAAGAAATATTCCAGATGACGTGGCCTAATTCTTGACCCCTCCCTTAGTCCAATCCCCGAGCCAAAAGTGCGTACGCGAAGTGGGGCGGGACACATGAGACCATGCACAGCAGTTTGCGCAAATTGATAGACTAACATGATGTGAATTACCAAGAAAAACAAAGACTACTATACAACCAAAAGCTGCAAGGCACGAAAACCTAACAAGGACGAGAATATGCCATGCTATTCGTGTGTGCCCCCAAATCACGCCAAAAACACCCTTCATCCATCCTTCGTACGTACCACTGCGACAAAAATTCAACACCCGACTGCCAACGATGATAAGTGCTTAGATTTCGAACTTCGAGTAGCCCTGCTCGCCTTCGCCGAGAGGCTGCACACCTGCATCGGCGTTGTCTTGCTTGACGCCAATGTTCTCCTCGCCTTTGCCAACACCGTGCATGCGCATCGCCTCTGTGAGTTTCTCAATTGCTTCTTCGGGGCCCAGTGAGCCGGGTAAGCCTTGGCCGCCGAGCTGGCTAATGATCTTCTTCGTCGCGTCTTCCATTGCGCGGACACGTCTTTGGAAGTTGAGGCGGTCCATGAAGAGCTGTTGGCGGCGTCGTTGCAGGTCTCGGCGCTCGGCGGAGAGGAGCTTCTCGAAGTCGTTGAAGTGTGCCATCTTGAGTTGCAGCTTCTGTAGTTGCAGGTTTACGGTCCCCGAAACGAGGCGCGTGATGTGGCGTTCTTCGTGCGAGGCTAGAGCGGACGATCGAGCTGCGGAGAGTGCGAAAGGAAGGGTGACGAGGGGGTTGGCGGTGGATGAGGAGTCCTTGATGGCAAGGGCGGAAGATTCTTGCGCTGCATCGACATCCATGGCGTCCCCGCTTTCTGGCTTGATCTCTGTTGATGACACAGCGGATCCGCCCTCCTTTTCCTTGCCCTTTTCTGAGGGTGCAGTGGGGGTGTTGTTGATCTTCTCTTGGAGGATGCGCCTCATCTCGTGGACGCTACGCCCTGAGGCTACCGCGGCTCCGGTGACATTGGCGGGTGCCAGACCAGCGAGGAAGCTCACTACGCTCAGGATAGGGTTGTCTGCGTGGTGTATCGGCATACGTCCTTCGCTGAGGTACTCCAGATCCCGCAGGAACTTGGTCGAAGGGGCCCCTGACTCGGTTTGTGGCACATCTGCTTCGATGTATTTGTCTTCGATCTCCAGTTGCAGGAACTTCATCACACACTGCTCGCGCGTCTTTGTTTGAACATGGTCCGCAACGCGGTTCCAGTCGTCATCAAACTCCTCTAGTCCTTCAAGCAGTAGGAGGACCTCTTCTTCTGTCCACTTCTCTTCTGTATCTGCCACTGGTGAGTACTCTAAATTTGCGATCTTGGTGAAATCAGTGTTCACAGTGCCGGAAGGGAAGTTGCCCTCTACGTAGCACCTAGGACATAGATCGCGCTTCAAGCCGCCCGCGGTTTTGGCTTGTCCGGATTGCTCGGAGGGCTTCGTCTCGTGGAAGTGAACGCGGGTGCACTCGACGCCGCAGCTGAAGCAGTTGATCACCTTGAATGGCTCTTTTGCTGCAGCCTCGAGGTCCTTGACGTCCGCTGAGTTGCCATTTTGAATTGTCTCGCCATTGGCTGCCCTCGGCTCCGCCGACGCCTCCTTGCCGTTAGCCTCGTAGATGTTCCGACCAGCGAGCGACTTGGTCTCGCTCTTCGCAGTGGGTTGTAGGCTCGCAGCGCGGTCGGTGCCGGCGTGCTGCTTGCCCTCTATCACTTTTGATCCCGGGCCCGGCTGGAAGGGCTGCAGTCCTCGAGGCGTGTCGACGGTGACGCGGAAGTGGCCGGTGAATGGAGGGCCGATGTTGGACGGGCGCTCTTGAGGATCGACCTGTACTATTGTTAGATACGTGGTGGGTTGTAAGCGGTAAACAGCATACCTGGTAGTTGATCAGACCCCACTGCTCCAAGAAAGCATGCACGCGCATGATTGCGCAAACATCTCCGGCCAAGTTTCTTCGGCAGGCCGTGACGGTGAGGTACTCGGATGGGTTCAGACGGTATGTGTTGATCATGAAGTCGCGGTAGTCTCGGTACACGGCGGGCGTCTTGCTGCGATTACGGTTGTTGAAGAATTCGGGGAGGGCTTTGCGCTCGCGGTAGTCAATGTAGCGCATGTCGAACCACGTCGCGTAGCTCGGGATGATGGTCGCATAAGTCTGCGTGACGAAGTGTGAGCGAGCGGCAGACTGCAGATCTGCTTTTGCTTGTGCCTCTGGGTCTGCAATCTCAACACCGTCGGCGTCCTTTTCCTTCTTGGTGTCCTCGACGCCGCCCATCTCCTCGTCCTCCTGGCCGTCGGCATCTTCGGCGTCTGGTCGCGGGCCATCGGGCGCATCGAGAGGGTTGTCTGACACGGGCGCCGGGGTGGCTGTCGAGGCCTCGCGCGACGATTGCTTGATGGTGGGCTCTTCGAGCATGCTGGTATCTACGAACGTGTCAAAAAAGTCGGCGCTTGGAGGTTCCGAGGTTGCGATGGGCCCCATGATGCCGTCTGGTACAAGCATCGGGTCGTAGTTGCTGAAGTCGAGATAGGGCGGATCCATGTTGCGCCGGGACTAGCAGGTGAGGTCGAGGAGATGCGCAGTTGACTGACGTACCTTGGTCGAGAGCATTGATGTCTGTGACACCTTCTCCGCCCAGTGTTAGGTCCTGCGCATTCGCGCTTGCAGTCGCGTCGTCGGCCATAGCTTCGATACTTTTACCAACACTTGCGATGCGTCGGGGGCTGGCTGGAGCGGGATGCACGCCAAAAGGTCACGTGGGGCGCAAGTGCGGAGTTAAGGACGCGACCTTGACGGGGATGCGCCGAGTGATTGCAGTTGTGGTGAATGCAAAAGAGTGTGGGGACGGAGGGGATGCGATGGGTTGGTGTCGCGTCTGAAGTTCGCGATGCTCGAACGCCAACCCTGAGCAAAGGCTAGCGCTACGGAGCGGGCTCAGCACGTGATCTGGCCCACTGCTCCGAATAGCATCACACCGCGGGCTAGCGCCGGGTAACCATCTTAGACAAACCGAGGTCATTGTGTTCTGCGCGTGAAGTCACCATTTGCAATTGCGCTGCAACCTTTTCTTTTGATACCCACCAGTTAATTTTCGTTTCTGTTTGCGGTGTTCCTTTCACCTTCCAGACACCATGTTGCCCACCGCACGCACCTCCGCCCTCCGAGCAGCCCGGTCACAGCTGCGACGGTCGCAGCCCATTGCAGTACCACAATGCTCGGCCTTCGCACGGTTAGCATCCACGCTCGCCGTACTTGAGCAGAAAGACGGAAAGTTCCAGCCAGCATCGTTAGCAGCAGTCACAGCAGGGACCAAGCTCGGAGGTACAATAACAGCATTTGTTGCCGGAAGTGGGGTGAAGTCAGTCGCAGAAGAGATCGGAAAGGCAAAGGGCATTGAGAAGGTCTTATATGTGGAGAATGGAGCATATGATAAGGTACAAGTCTTCAGGATGGCAGACCGTACCAGGCTCTGACAGGTGATTGTAGGGCCTCCCCGAGAACTTTGCGCCACTCCTGGTCGAGAACATAAAGAAGGGCGGATATACACATGTCATTGCTGGACACTCGGCGTTTGGAAAAAACCTGATGCCACGAGTATCAGCGCTTCTCGACACCCAGCAGATTTCGGATATCACAGCTATTGAGAGCGAAGACAGTAAGTGGTACCCCATTCCAGACCTGGGTGTCGGCACTGATTCAAGACAGCATTCGTACGTCCAATCTACGCCGGCAACGCCATCATGACCGTCCAATCGAGCGACAGCATCAAAGTCATCACCGTCCGCGGCACCGCCTTCCCCGCGCCAGAGACCGAGGGCGGATCTGCCACATTAGAAGAGGGCATTGACCCCAAGGCCGAAAGCCAGACCGAATGGATATCCGAGAACCTCCAGAAATCAGACCGACCCGACCTGGGTTCGGCCGACAAGGTGGTGTCAGGAGGCCGCGGTCTCAAGTCAAAGGAGGAGTTCGACAAGCTGATGCCACCGCTAGCAGACGCACTTGGCGCCGCCATCGGTGCGTCAAGAGCAGCGGTAGACAGCGGCTTCGCGGACAACAGTTTGCAGGTTGGACAGACCGGTAAGAACGTTGCGCCGCAATTATACCTCTGTGCTGGTATCTCGGGTGCGATTCAGCACTTGGCAGGTATGAAGGACAGCAAGGTCATCGCAGCCATCAACAAGGACCCTGACGCGCCCATCTTCCAAGTCGCGGACGTAGGCCTCGTTGGCGATCTCTTTGAGAAAGTGCCAGAGCTCACGGAGAAGCTCAAGGCGCAGTAGAGCCTTCGTACCTCTCCCTGTAAACATACCAATGACACAAGACATCTCACAAGGCCCATTCTCTGATCACGATCATCACAGCCACAAATGCATAGGTCGTGTGGCGACCAATAATCACATCCTCACAGACAGTTCAAAGGGCTTGGCATACGCAAAACAAGCTCACCACCATCGACGCTACTTCGCTGATCCCAGATCCCCCACATGCTTACATCTTTACCCCTCCCCCAACCCATGCCTCACGCACTACCATTCAAGACCTTGATAAAAAGCGCCCCAAGCACACCCCCAACGAAATGTAACCCGCCCATCCCGCCTGTCTTTGACTTCGCTCTATCCCCTTTCCGCTCTAGCGTCGCTTTATCATCATCACGCCCTCCCGCTGCTACAAAGCAACAATCCCCCGCCCATCTCATCTGCACTGCGCGCTCGAAACTTACATTTTTAGTCCCCGGGAGTGAGGCGTGCTTGTAAAATTTGGCGCGACAACAGATAGATATGCGAATGGTGCGGTGATGGCGACGCTCGCGGATGACAATGGGCGCGGTGAGAGGAGGAAGAGGGGGAGTGTGTTAGG